TTACTGTGTACTTTTCCAGTACTCCTCTGTCAATGTCCCCTCGAGAATGCATGTTTCTCTGCTATTTTGAATAAGCGTTAAAAAACCTTTCTTCATGAGACTGATATTGTTGGACAGAGTATTTTAAGAGGATGGTAGACTGCACAATGACACACTGTCACTCTTGTTGGCCTCTTATGATACTGCTGTCTTTTAATATAGGATTATTTCTCAGCCGCTAATTCGTACCTCACAGATTCTTCAGCCTCATCCTTCCATCAGTCCCCTGCAGTCAACGCATCAGCCTCCAGCACACTTCCAGTGTCTGACTCCAATGATATTGTCCTGATGCTGTAAGGGTGATGCCCCTTGATCACACAGTGCCAAGGACCTCATATTATGTCTGTCATTAATGTTAGATCACCCATTATAACAATTTGCTTTCCTTTTTCTCTTCTCTTAACTGAATAGCCCTGTCTTTAAGTATAATACAATGTAAAGTCCTTTTCCTGCACCATTTTAAGGCTTCAAAACAGGCATTTTTACTGGATGTGTTTGGAGAAATGACACAATCAGTGGCCCAGAATTGTACTTGATAAACTCTGAATCTTGTGGTGCTTGAATAATTACACACTGGTTAAGCCGGCCAGGTTATATATGCCTTTTTTGGAGCCCTTTTTTGCAATATTTATTAAAATGTCACTAGTTATTTAAACAAACCATCAATATTTTTTATTAACTTCAACCAAAGTCAATTTAAATAGCGAGCAAAAATTGTTTAACTGCCATGCATGTGTGTTTGATATAGTTTACGTTCAATTTCAACTATTTTAGGCAGAGAAACGTATATTCACTAAACCTTTTTTAATGATTTACTATAATTTAGAAAGGTTTTTGTGAGAAATCATTTCAAAAGTAAACTTATTTTTCATTTTATATTTACATTTGAAATGTTTGCACACAACATTATTAATGTATACATTTCTATCAATTTAAAAAAAATTATGAATCCATTTATTTTATTGTATTTCCTTGAGGCTAGGGAAGATATCATGTAGTTCAACATGCAAATGTTCTAAGGCAAGTAAGTATACGTATAACATGGAAAAGGAAATAAAATAGGTTTCATAGGAGGATGTGGATTTATTTTCTCTCACCTTGTAATTACACAATCAAACCCTCATCAAACTTAGCAGAAGTGGCTTGATTTTGTTCTCAGCAGGGGATTTTGACAGAGGATTTCTCAAAAATACACAGTAAAAGTACTTCAATGTAAGCTAACTAATACAAAGTCAAACAGTATCAATTTCATTAAGAACTAATGGTAAAATTATATTTTTATCATTCATCAAAGATAGCAGAAAAACATGCATTATGTACTATGGCAACCCAGTCTCACGGCATTTCGTGTTCACCAACACGATTTTTAATCTATTGATTCGTGTTCACCAACACGATTTGCCCCTTTTTTTCGTGTTGCACAGCACGATTTTAAAAGCAATGTATTTCTACTGCCTGCAGCACGTCTTTTTCTCCGGTCGGGTCGTGGGAGACCGGAAGCTGTGTGATTCATAAAAACATGTTCTTACTCAATATCAAGCCACAATTATTGCTTTTATTTTAAATCGTATAATTTCTGACTTTTGTTGCCGTCTGTGAGGAAAATAAATGGGGCTCAGAGCCTCAGAAAACTGAAATCTGTATTTTTAAATATTTGTTTCCTTCTAATTCGTTATTCTTTTCAAAATAACACACTGTTATTTACTCACCAATAACACACAATTATCCTTGCTTTTATTTATTGGTTTAATTCCATAATCTCAGGCTTTTTTGGCGTCCGTCAGGAACTGAATTTCAAAATAAACATAACCGGAAACAGACGTAGGCCTATAAGGGACATTTTGAGCATCATTGCGATTGTCAACATTTCTGAGTTTAGGATGGCCGAAGACACTACATTACCCATAATCCCCAGCTATCGTTTAGGACTACAGTCCCCGTAAGGTTACGCAGAGCGTCAAACAGCTGTGTGAAATGGAACGAAACCACGCCAGACTATCCAAAACTGGAATCGAACGCCCCCCCCAGAACTACACAGCTGGCAAAATGTCTCTACTGAACGTTTTCGTTTTCCCCACAATTAGAAGTTGCCAGTATTAAACACATTGGTGTTATCAAATGTAAAACATATAATTAATAAATGGGTGAAAATCGCTTGTGTCCATAATGCGCAGCATTAATACCCACATGACAGCTCATTGTTACTTTGTAATTCTACTCCACTACAATTCAGAGGTTAACCTGGTATTTTTACTCCACTGCATTTATTTGAGTTACTTTGCAGATTCTGATTAATTATGTGAAATATAAACAACCCTTAAATCAGACTTTAGTCACACCTGAGTAAAATTCAGGTAAGGTGATTGTCAAGTGCCAACAATCAGGAGAGATATTTGATAGTTGGTGCTTGAGAAGACTAAACATGTATCTGCAATTGACATGAATGGAAACGAGTAATAAAGTATATTCATTACTCGTTATTCTCTACTAATAGTTAATTAAAGACTGTATATTATGGCTATTTTGCACATCCCTTTCAAGATTTTCAAAGGTTTATTGACATATCATATACACAACTACGGTGTAGTTATGCAATGAATGAAACACTTGGGTCACAGGTTCTTCAACAGTGCATTACAAGACATCTATCAATATGTGTGTACCTCCACCATTAAACTGTCACATTTATTTTCCTCACAGACGGCAACAAAAGTCCGAAATTATACGATTTCAAATAAAAGCAATAACTGTGGCTTGATATTGAGTAAGAACATGTTTTTATGAACCACACAGCTTCCGGTCTTCCTCGACCCGACCGGGGAAAAAAAGACGTGCTGCAGGCAGTAGAAATACATTGCTTTTAAAATCGTGCTGTGCAACACGAAAAAAAGGGGCAAATCGTGTTGGTGAACACGAATCAACAGATTAAAAATCGTGTTGGTGAACACGAAATGCCGTGAGACTGGGTTGACTATGGAGGGGACTGATAGAGGATTACTCACAAAGTACACAGTAAAAGTACTTCATTTTATTTCTGGTAGAAGTCAAACTAGAACCGAGTCCAACAGAGTCAGTTTCCTTAAGAACTGGTGGTAAAACATATTTGTATCACTCGTCAAATATAGCAGGAATGAAGAGCAGCTGATTTGAAAAAACAAACGCGAGAGACGGCGGAGTGACCGCAGTGCAGAATCGCTGTATAGTTTAAATCTCCTAACAATGTTGTCCATTTTAGACATAGGCTTATATTTACAGCCCTTAATAACATTCATTTTCTGGACTCAATCTGTGTCTTGGCCGTTTTCGTTGTGATCGCTAAATTCACCTTGTTTATAATATTATCACCGCTTTTGTTTTGAAATCACTTCCGTGAGTTTCGCCCCGCCCCTCTCTCCAAGGACCATTAGTAAGGTTTTTAGTAAGGTAAAAAAAGCAAAAAGGCCTCTCAAACGCTCTTCCGTTTACGTATTTAATAAAGAAAAACAATTGGACGGTAGATACACGGATTCATACAGCGTACTATTCAACGCTGTGTGATTTAGTTTGAGTCTAGCTATCATGATTTCCTACCTTCTGTTTATTTCTTTATAAATATTAATTGTGATTGTCTTTTGAACTTTATGATACTCTTTGCCTTTCGGGTCTTTCTCCCACCTTTTCTGCCAGATCTCCATCCATTTTTTCTTAATTACTGCTTTTCCAAGTTGAACTGGTAATGTTATTTCCTTTTGTAATTCACTTTTTGCAAATGTATCAGCTAACTTGTTCCCTTTTACCCCCTCATGTGCAGCCACCCAGCAGAACTGAAGATCTATACCACCTCTGTGAAGTCTTAACAAGCTATGGTTAAGTTCTATGACTATATCTTCTCAGACAGTTGTTGTTGTTGTTGTTGACTGTATGCTTTTTATTATGGATAAAGAATCTGTGCATATCACCACCCTATCTGGTCTGACCTCTTCAACCCACTGTAATCCTATTATTACTGCCAGCATTTCTGTGTACACTGATAGTTGATCTGACGCTCTTTTGGAGATCGATATTTTAAAGTCTGGGATGTATATACCAACTCCAACACACTCTTCCTTGTTCTTAGAACCATCTGTGTACATTTTTGAGGTAATTGTGATAATTATTCCTGAGGTACTTGTTTTGATTCCTACTTCATTTATTTGCCACTCTCTTTTCTTTTCTAGAATACTCATATCTACCAAACCAACACTGCCCAATCCTCAACTTTATAATGAAAACTAAACCTTTTTCTACTGAATGACAAATGATCTTTTGCCTTTTTAACTGCAATTACATTAACACAAAAAACATTAATCATCACCAAATTTCATTTAACACCCTTTCAAACTGTAAATATTGTATCAGACTACTGGTATACATGAAAAACTGCAGTAAATATACAAAGAATAGACACTGAACATGTATTGTGTGTGCCAGGTGTGATCCATGTGGGATGAAATAAACATGATTCTGGAATGTGCCATTTTGCATGACGAGTATCGGCTACTTTTACATTTAGTACGTCTTCAAGTATATTTTAATGCCAATTCATATACTTTTATACTTTTACTGAAGTACGATTTTGATTTCGGGACCTTTACTTGTAATGGAGTATACAATTTAGTATTAGTATTTTTATTTAAGTAATAAATCTTAGTACTTCTTCGTAAAACCCAGCACGAAACCTGCTCTATATTTCTCTATAATGATTGATATATGTCTGTCAGTATGCCTGAAATGAAATGAGATGTCTCTTCTGAAGACAGAGCTGCTGCTAAGTCACTGCATATGATTACATTGCCTGGTTTATTGTCTTCTATCCACCAAAGTGTATATAGTATTGCCATCATCTCTGCTACAAGTACTAGGCTTATTGTGCTTATGTTGCAAAACAATAAGTGAAACAAAAATCAAATTAACCATTATTTCACAGTTATTTATCTGCCATATTGTTTTAAAGTATAAAAATGGTAAACTGTTACAGTATAACTCACCAGAAAGCTAAATCCAGACATACAGTTCATTAGGTGTGACAGGGAGTCAGCATGCAACCACCTTCATTCGTTTTATTTTTTACAACTGTGCTATTCCAACAGCAAGTTTTCTAAATGTGTTCAGTCAGAAATGTTTGAGGATCCGAGCCAGGACCATGTTTTAAACATACATGGACTTCCCAAAACATATTTTCCAGCATAAGATCAATTTGAATACATCATTGAAAAGGTAATCAAGTTATTAATACAGCCCATTTGGTTATGAGGATAACATCATTGAACAAGAAGCATTAAGTGGTTGTTTTATGTCTGAGCATATCAATATATCAGCTTGAATACTTTATCATTTGAAGGGAATTTACATCAACATTCAGCTTCACTACAATTCATAATGTCTAGTCAAGTGCATAATACTGGTGTCACAACAATGTAAGAACAAGTTTTGCTAGGATGCATACAATATGTTCCTTAAAAAAGTCTTATAAAGGTTGTATGATGTCCACGTGTAAACATAAGTGTGTTTGCATCCTTGCATATCTCCCTGTAAACTCTTCTCAAAAGAGTCAGGGATGAATCAACATCTTTAGGAACATGGTGACATGTTGGTGTGTGCTGTGCTCCACCACTGTCTGAGCACATTCAATACACTTGACGGGGAAATGTTATATTTTACAGGTAAAAAATTGAGCATTGTTCCTTTACTATAGACATAATGAACATATACTACAATATATCATATGCTGGTGGTTTACATTCAGGTATGGTTATTAACACGTTTTCTTAGCAGAATGAAATCATGCAAATGTGAGTATATATTGTTCTTTTTGCAGTGACACACACACTGTGGTTAATGATAGTGATCGATGTGACATCCACCTGTGTGGTAGACTGAATGTAAACCTGTCCTTGTCTTTTCTGACCACAAGAATGTGGTGACATGTATGTGTTTGTACCACAGTTGTCGGCGTGTTTAGTCGTGGCAGTAGGTAGAAAAACAATTACATTGCATTCACTGAAGACTGACTTTAATCCGTTTTCTGGATTAGTTGATACAAATCAGGTGCCAGATGTTAGATCCAAATCCCAACCTCAATATATGAGCAGAAATATTAGTCACAGGAAACTGGATTTGATTGACCCAACTTGAATAGTTGCATTAAAAAGATTAACATATTAAACTAATACATTCAATTTGAAATTATGCTATTCAAGTTGAGCAATTAAAATAAAAACTATTCAGTTTCAGTTACACAAATATCTTCCCACCCCTACATTGGAGGTTTGTAGGACAAAATGTTTCAAAAACAACAACTGTAAACATTAACATCCAAAATAAAGGCGAGTTTCTCTCCGGAGCTGCCATATAGCACCAACAGTCAACAGTCAAATAGGGAGAAATCAATTGTAGAATAAATACATCAGTTATAACAAATTCTCCATCAAACAGAAGCCTTGATAAACTAAAATGCAACCAAACACAATTTGCTTCAAATAAAGGGCACAAGAAAACAGGTTTATACCAGCTTTCTGGCAATGTAAAAGGCATTCTGGGGAATGCACCAAGTCACTAACATAAGTAAAAATACATTTAAAAAGTAGTAGGTACTCGGTAAAAAGTAAAATTACAACAGTTCCCTGTGATGTAAAATGTCATAGATTCGTATAACTGTGAGTGAATGAGAGTATCCAAGAGAACGTTTGTCTCTTCTGGATTGGAGGTTTCAAAGTTGACCGATGTCTCTCTGTAACATGCATTAGCCCAACATATTTCTCTGATGTTCCTCCTCACACTTTTCACTTTTTTTTCAAAGTTATTGCTGTAAAAATCTGACTGGACTGAATGATTGAGATGTCTAAACCTGCCCGTCTCGTCTGTGGCCTCGGAAAAGGTCTTATGAGGTAACTACAGCTTCAGTTTGATATGTGTGTCAAACAAGAGACCTTGAAAGCTATGGCAAGGATGTCCAGTGTAACAGTCTGTGTCTGCTTGGTTGTCATTGGAAGCCAGACAGATTTATTTCTTCCATGTGTGTGCATTGTAGGTTTACATACCACCATCGCTTTGTTCCCCCTCACTAATCACTGTGATTGCTTTGGTGATTCTCACAATCAGGATTCAGGAATTTGCTTCAGGTAGTGTGCCGATACAGCATTAATCGGTGTACCCCACATTAAGACGTGTTCACATAGTCTGTTTCTGATGTCCAAAGTGTTTGTCTGCTACAGAAATGCTACTGTTTTGTCAGTTGTCATAAGGAAGTCTCCACACAGGAACCATTTCTGTGCAAGGACCTGTGGTTGTGGCAATTCTCGCTACAGTGGACGATGAGCACTGGGTAGCAAAGTGCGTCCTCATATTCTGGGGGTTCCTCTTCATCTGTGGCGGGGCGCACTGAGAGACAGCGGGTATTTTCGCTGGGGCTCTCCTGGTCGTCCAAGCTCCCGCTCCTCCAGAAGCAGCTGCGCTGGGACCCGTAGCGCCGCGCCAAGGAGAAGCGGCTGCCGCTGAAGGGGATGCGGGAGCTGGCACCGGTGCAGATGCTCAGGGCACTCCTGGAGAACACTGAGGAGCAGCTGATGGCTCGGTGGCAGCGCTCACAATTCTGACGGAGCCCGTTGAAGCTGGACGGGCATTGGGCTAGGTCCATCAGGCCAGCCTCCGAGTAACTGGGCACCAGTTGCTGGTTGGACCTAATGTGCCATTCCAGTTCCGTACTGTCAATGGTATTAACACGAGGGATACGCCGCCAATATGGCCGATCATCACATGGCGTCACAGGGATGTAATCGTACCCAAAGAGCTTCTCAACGCGGTAGTGGACGTATGCAGTGTGATACTCTGTGAAGACCCTGAGAGGCCAGGAGAAAGTGAAGAATGAGGCGAACCAGAAGACGTAGTGGGACAGATACCAGGGGTGGTGGTCTGGGTCGGACAGAACCATGACGTACTCCTTCAGGTCAATGTTTTTCAGGTGCATGCCTTCCCTGGCTTCCATGTAGTCATCAAGGCCCTCATTGTCGGTGAAAAACCTGGCTCGCTGCGTAAGGTAAGAATTCTCAGACTCTACGTTGGCGAAACTGAAGCACTTGGTGAAGCGCATCTTAGTGAGAGCTGACTTCCCCAAGCCCAGCAGCTGTTTGGAAACATCTTTGACGTTACAGTGACTGTAGTCAAATTCTGCTTCTGCCACATGTGTGTTGACACGTTCGTGGTAAACCTGGGTACTAGTGTAGGCGTCTCCATTGCGATAGCGCGTGACTTGCCGGGTTCTGCGAACATAGTGATAGCTGATGGCCTTCCACCAGATGCAGGGCTTGGCTTGCTGCATCCTTTGGATGCGCTCGTAGATGCCCTCCACATCCACTTTGTGCTGCAGCTCGTTCTTGACATGACAGTGCCAGCACTCCACAAGATAGACCAAGTAGAGCATTCCCAGTAGGGCCAGTGGGATGTAGATGTAGCCATCAGAGCAGGGACTGTCATGGTACATCATGGATTTCCCTTTGAAGGCACTGTCAAAGGTGAGGCGGGTCACCTTGGTGACATGACACCAAACCATGGCTCCCATGCAGCCATACATGAGTATGGACAGGAGAAGGCATTTCCAAAAACTCTCCCGGCATAGTGACTTGCTCAGAGACTGCTTCAGGGGTTTTTGCTGTTGAGTCGAAAACAAACAGACATAACAAAAGATGAAGTCATACAAAACTGTTATCTTATCATTAATCATCTACCTTACATGTAATTGATAACGGCAACACGTTAAGCACCTTTCGGGTCCTGTTACCCTACCCTTAAACCAAAAATGCCCTTGTAAATAAGAAGAAGTTTATTCAGCTCTGTAGAAAATTAATGTCATTTTATAAGCGCTAGAGGGATATATGCTGGCTCACTACAGCAGATGTGAGATGAAAGACAGGTAAAGATGTTAGGATTATAATCACGTGGCCACCCATTTTACTCTGCATTTATTAACGTTTAATCTCAACATTCTGCTATTCTGAACTGCATGAACATTATTATTAAACCAACATCCCTGGCAATCTTTGACGTGCACTAACATTCTTCAAACATGGATCCATTATTGGCTGCGACAAACAGAACACAACAAAAGGAATGTGGTAATGAATAAGCCATGCTAAATGATAGTAGCCTACCTCCTCTCTGGTGTCCTCCTCCAAAACGGTGGTGCTGCTTTCACTCGCTGTCGCAGCCGATGCTGGGGGGGACATGGTGCTGGGAATCTATTGATAATAATGGTAGGGCGAGGAGTAGGGAGAGATGTTACTATGTTGTTCTGCAGAGACGCTCAACCAAGATGAGCATGGCATGTGTTATCATGTGGATACACTCCACCTGAATACACTCGATGGAGGCATGAACGGTAACAAATAAACGGATCTCTGGTGGCTGAGAAACTAAAGAAAAACACGGCGGAGGTGTCTACAGGAAAGCCCGCATCCTTCCCTTCTTCTGTTCAGCTGTCAATAGCGCAGTAACATGACCGTAAATGATGCTGAATTAGCAGGTAGTTATTAAAAAATGAACATGCCCTGCCCCCCCCCAGGGCCTCGTGTGTGCGGGGGCTGACGGTGCCGTTACCGGGCTGCAGAGCTGGTGCTGAGGCAGGTGCACGCGGAGATGTTGTTGCATAGGCTAAATCTGTCATTTAAAGGGAAAGTCCACCCTAAAACTTAGTCTTTAAGATTCCACAGGAAAAGTAATTAATTTTCATCCACAGGTCAGTTTTTAGTGTGGGATTTGTTTTATTTTTATGGTGCACAATGGCACTTTTTTTTACAATTCAGTTATTGTCCTACCAATTTTTTTGTTCTTCTTTTAAGAAATTATTTACAAAGCATATAATCAAATAAACCCAGATACATAGGTGAACTACATAACAATCGACAAATCAGGAAAACAATTAAATAATAATAAGTAAACAAATGGAAAAACATAATGGATACTTTACTAATACTCAGGTGTACATTAATTTTCAGTTCTTACCTCTACTTATCACAGGTGTTTCCATACACTGTGTGAAAGACACTCCTCAACATAACTCTGACTGACAGATGCTGAGCTTCATCCAGCAGAAGGACCTCCTCTTCCTCCAAACCCAAAGGGATCATGCTCATTTTCACAACACATTCAGACAACAGAGTGTCTGCGTTTTTGTGATTTTTTTTCTAATTTGTTACACAACTCTATTAGGTTAGTTGAAAGCTAACAACTAACCTAATACAGTTACATGAAATGTGTTGAAATAATACATTTAATTAAAGCCAACCGTTCAGGTTTTTCAGTATATTTGATGTTTGTGTTATAAGCAGTAAATCTGCACTGTTATGGTGATTTCTGATGGTGTCTGATGTGCTGTTTGCTGCAGCAAAGAGAGAAGCGAAAACTACACCATTTCCGGATTTACAATTAAATAAATAAATCAACTGTTGCGTAAAGTTCCACTTAGTATATAATAATAATAATTATAATAATAATAATAATAATACATTTACATAATAATAATAATACATAATTTTTATAGCGCTTTTCCTGGTGCTCAAATACACTTTACATATAAATCAGAAACCGAAACAGTAAAAAAAAAAAAAAACATTAACAGTAGTCGTAATCCAAGTGCGAGTAAAGTGTGTGTGTGTGTGTGTGTGTGTGTGTGGGGGGGGGGGGGGGGTTGTTGATCAGAGTTTGAAAGCTAGAGTAAAATGTGTTTACAAGAATTTTATGAATATAAAATACCAAGGCAGTTTCCAGAAACCAGTGTAACAAAGTCTGCAGCACTAGAGCAATGAGACCGAAGGATCAACACATTAAAGCAAATAAGGGGGTGTACAGTTGCAGTTTACATGTGGAATTGATTATATGAAGCAAACTCAATTAAAGATCAATATCATTTTAAAAAAACGTAGAAAAACATGCATGTTCTCATAATTCAGCAGCAAGCCATGAGAGATACTTTGCTAATATCAAAATCACATGAAATTCTGGGTCACAATTATGCGTACAACATCTTAAAAAAATACAAAAATGATTTCGGAGACCCATTCACAGTCTTGGAGGGTAACACTCTTTAGTTTTTAGTGTAGTTGCTTAAATTAAAATGTCTTGCTTGTAGTGATAAAGATGCAGGCGTATAGCATTATGTAGAAACCTGTTACACCTACTTAATGTGTTTTGTTTTATACATTTTGAAATATATGAGAGGCTTCAAATGAATATGAATGCATTACATCATTGTCTTATAGTTTTTCAATGAATTTGAATGAAAACACTTGGATGGTGATTTGGTCCTTTTCCAGATATTGTTTTCACAAAAGTGTTTGTTTTGTCCTGGTGTAATTCGAAATGGTAGACTATCTCCAGCCTTTGGACTACTTCCTGTTGTGTTAAGCTGCTACTGCTTTTCCCAGGGTCTCCTTTTCTGATGACGATGGGAACCCTTAAAGGAAAGAGGAATACGGTTATGATTTAACAAATATCAAGGTTTATGTTTAATGAAATACATTTGTAATTTTGTAAATTCAATGTAAGCTTTTGGTAACATTTGCTTTTTCAGTCCACTAGGTGGTGCTGATGATGTTTTTTTCTTATGATGTCAGAAAGTTGATCAAAACAAAGATGAGTTATTGAAGAAAGAAATCATAAATGTGCTTTAGATAATTCAATGAAATTGTTTAGCAGTTGAAAAGGTTTAAAATTGCATTGTTACACAGTTTAGGAATACACATGATTCTGATTGGTCAATTTATTTCGACAATCTACAGTCTGTTATTTCTGTATAGTAGACCACTGCCCAGACCAAGAGACTATGCAGTCATATTAATCTGCAAAAAGAAGATCCGGTAAGAGTAAAAACAGCTATGGCAAATTACATTAGTTTGGTTAATCCATCAGAAAACACAGTGGAACATTTCCTGAATGTTATTTTGTATGTATATGGAAAGCCAAAATGATGGATTCATGATAGCTTATCTCTCCAGAGTAAAGAAAAGAAAGATTGAACAAGAACAAGAAAACAGTGCAAGAGAAGGAAAGAGGTTAAAAGACACAACAAGCTATAGTACAGCAATCTCAACAGAAGACTGACCAGTGTTGAATATTGCACATTATCTCTTACATATATATCAACCTATGTTATCGGAGTACTCAGCATATTGTCAATCATGGAAAATCCTATTGATATCGTATCATGACTTAATTATCTGATAATATCGTATCATGGGGCCTCTATTGAGTCTAGGAATCATGGTTTTTGATCATCTTCAATTTAGATGCCACGTGCATGAAAAAACTTGAGCCTTTTTTTCCCCTAAAAATTCAGATCACACCAGAATAAACATGCAATCAGAAAGATAACCTGCAATAAGATTTTGAAAAGCAGCTCCTTACCGAGTACATGTTGGAAAGGTTGTTGAAAAGCTCTTGACCTGCGCTCACTTTGTTCCTCACTCCTCGTATGGTCCCATTCTTGCTGCAGATATTAATCCGTTGTTTGCTGAAGAGCCTCTCTCTCTTGGCACTGGCGTACAAAAGCAAGTCATCTGCAGGTTCACAGCCATTCTCATCCGCACTAGTTTCCACCACCAGACCGTTCAGATGGCGATTGGCCTCGCTGGTGGGAGGCAGGCCCCCCTGCTCGGCCTCTGGACTGCTGCTGGTGCGTTCAGAGTCCACTGAGTCCGACACCGAGCCGCCCCAAGCCCTTTCATCCTTGAACACCTCCGCCAAGACCCGGCCGCTGTTGGCAGACGCCACTCTAAACCTCACTGTTTTCCCAGACCTTTCTTTCTCCTCTTTCACTTTTGGCCCCTCCATTGACAGTCCCATATGTGTCACATCCCATTCAGAAAAGCCACTAGTGCTCTTTCAGCCACAGCCATAGTCAAGTGCAATTATCAATCAATAAAATCCCCATTGACAGGTCAAAATGGGCTGAACGAGTGCACAAACTAGACACCCAAATGGTTAATAATACATGAACTTCTGCCATGGTAACAGCTAAAACAGGCACACAGTAAATTGATATTACCAGGTTCAATTATTTATCAAGGTTAGTTTTCAAACAGAAGGTAGACTACTCCTGTGACTGCTCTTTAATTCCAAGTGCCCTTAAAAGCCTACAGATAACCTTCTGCTGCAAACTCCATTACCCTCTGTCCCTGAAGAAAGAATCATGTATCAAACATCAACCAACTTTTTGTTTCCATTACATTATAGGATTATGGCTATAAGAAAATGTTTTTTTGCATGATAATGGTATTGATTTGTAGTGAGAGATGCTTTTCGGCACTAATGGCATAATGAATAGGGCTTTGTCACTACAGTAGTTACAGTTAGCATAGGTAGGCTACATTCATAAGAAATGCATAAAAAATTCTAAATCAAGGTTGTACTAAATAAACACAAAATGTCCCCTGTACCCAAATATATAGTTTATGTTGCTATGCTACCAAGGGTGAGCAAACACCACCAGCCAAAAGATCATCACTAAATCAAATGATTATAGTAACATAAACCTAGGAAATTGCCCTAATTTAGTGGGAATGCTGATACAGCATTCCAACTACTTGTTATGCTACGCACAAAATTCTTTATTATTCACTTAACTGCTCCTTCATACTTTCACTCAGAAACCTCATTCCAACTTTAAAATGTTACACATCTTTCTGACATTATTCGTGTAACACAACTTTTAAATCTGATTCACACTTTTAGAGATATTAAACATTGTTCAGACATTGGTAAAGAGGCCTTCTTCAGATTTTAGAGTGTGTGACGTCACAGCTAGAATGGAGGACAGATTTAACTTTGCCTTCATATTTTCTTTTAAACCTGCCATAATTCCCAAACCCTACATTCCTGAGACATAATTTGTCATGAGAAACGTAGGAAAACATCTCATAGCTTGAAAAAAAAAAAAATGTAACAAAATAATTAAACAAAATGCCTCTTGAGGGCATGAAGCGACAACAACTTTCAACATGTGTCCATTAAACCCCATTGTAAGTTCAGCCTCATCTTTCCCCACCACAGCAGCCGCACACCTTTAGTTAATCTGCCAAAAAGGCCACATTATTAACCCGAAAGTACACAAAATGTACACTTCAGATGCTCAAGTTCCTTGACATCCTTCACGCTTTGAAATTTCACCGATATCTGTTACGGTTCTTCAACAAAACGTTTACATGTAAGAGGTTTATCTCTCATTCAGAACAATGGAAATGCTCTCCTCTCACTGATTACTGCACATCACCATGGAAACCTTTGATCTCTGGACACATGTTAGCTCAAATAGAAACACCTGTGTCATGGAACACGATGATGTCATAACTCCAACTGACATGCTCAGAGCAGCAGATTTCAGATAATGGTTAACACAGCTCAACATCAAATCTGATGTTACATAATGTGGTGTTACTATGGCAACGCATCCCTTGCCATAAAACACGATGTCGCTATAGCTACAATGGACACGGTCCGGTCGTCCCACAATCTTCACCTGTATATCACCTCTCCATGCCTCAACAGCTCTACGTCAAATATGACATCTCACCATATGCCGTTTCCATGGAAACGTATCCCTCGCAATAAAACACGATGTT